AAAAACTATGCTTGAAGTTAGCTACTCATAACTTAAAAGCTAAATAAAAATAATTCATGGAAGATAAAAACTATGCTTGAAGTCTTCAAATTCTTCGTCTTCGTTATTGCTCCATTGCTTTCAAAATTGCGTAAAAAGAGGACCCCTAATTGTGTGCTTGAGATGGCCTTTGATAAGGTGGAAAAAATTGGGGAAAATGCGGTTTCCTTGTACAATTTGGAAGTTCCTTACTGCGCAGTCTTTCCTTTTTGGACCAATCCTCAACTCGGCCAGAAACCCTAATATGCCTTCATTACTCTTTTGCTCGAAAATTCCACTAAAGTAGACATAGAGCAAACTAGCTTATCTGGTTTATTCGCGTCCAGAATAATGCGATGAATACTATCATGGTGTGTATGATGGATTAATGGTAACATGACTGTAGTCATATTCGAATATGAATTTAGTTGAATATGACTGTAGTCAGATTCAAAATATGCTCTATCTTTTTGTCTCAAGTTAACTTGTGATAATAACATTCAAATTATGATTTTTTTATGTGAATGTTGATTGTATAGTTTTCGTAAGCAATAGGCAATCTTCGTTGTTTTATTTAATTTGGTAAACATGATTGTACCACACTATACAGTCGAATTTTTAAATTAAAAATATAACAAACTGCAATATAAAGAAAGAATATGACTACAGTTGATATAGTCACATATAGTCAACTATAGTCTTATTCGGCGTAGTAAACAAGTCGAGAAAAAAAATTCAATTTTTTGTTTAAAAAAAATTAAAAAAAATATTTTTATTAAACAAATTAAAAAATAATAAATAATAATAATAAAAAAAGAAATAAATCCGAAATAATAAAAAATAAAAAATTCAATTTTTTTTTTTTGATTTAATAGCAATTTTTTAGGAATTTGGAAGCAAATTTTTAGGAATTAGATTGTTATTATGAAAAGAGAAAAAAAAAAAAAGAATAATTGAGACAAATTATGTTAATTGACATAAGGGTTGGGAATACAATTTTTAGGGGTTATCACAAATAAAGATTTGAGGGATGGACATATCACCATTTCTTAGTTATATGAGGGGCTTATCACAAAATATATATATGGTTTAACCATGACGCGACGGTAAATTAATCACTCTCTGCAATTTACTCTCTGCGAGGCCTTAGCCATTTGCTCTGTAACTCTGCGTTTATTTATTAATGTTATTGGGCATATTATTTCGAAGCGCAAAAGTTTATTTCATCGGCATTATTTTCGTTTGAAGAACTACACAGCAAGTACTGGTATTGTAGATGTAAGTTAATGATCAAAACAAATTTTCAAGAAATGTGATGTTCCATCTGGTGCATTGAACATTTTCGATGGCATGAGAGTATTACATGAAATTTTGCATCAGTGGAGGCTTTTATAGATCATAAATTGCACTCTTACCCTTCTCCCTTTGTTATTTGTAATTATAGTCCATAGACATTGGAAAGAATGATCAGAAAAAAAAATTGCGTAGGAGTAACGTGCAAAACATTCCTATAAGTTACAATAAATAATATACACTAACAAACCATGTAAGATGAATTCATCCGATGTAAATAATCAGATGTAACATCTAACTCCTCTGTTCTACACCTAACCATTACGTTCCTCGAATATAATTATTTTCAAAGGAATGTTTACTTTACTAATATTGTGATAAAGGACATAATAATTACAATAACAATCAATTTAAGGGTAAATGACACATACTTTAAAGGAGTAAATTGCATTGACTACCCCTGTGAAAGTCGCAACTGCGCGATTCCCCCCTGTCATAAAATAATTAGCAAATACCCCCTATGAATTTTAGTCAAAGGCGTATTCCCCCATGGCGCACCTTCGTGTTGCTCACTCGCTGTGCGTGCAACTGGTAAGGGATTTTTGACATGAAATGACGTAAATATCCTTATATTAAATTGATTAATATACCAATTGTAAATATCTTAAATTGAAGGACAAATTTGCAATAACTACAACATAAATTCTAGCATTAACAATCTTTATATGTTCTTTATATGTTTTACATTTTATATTAAAGAAGAATAATAATAATAAAATAAAATAAAAGTTCTTTCTTCCCCGCTCCAACCCCTCCACCACACCCACAAATCACCACCGCTTCAACTCAGCCGCTGCCCCGCCGCTTCCACCACCAGTTCAATCCTGCACCATCACCGCCATAACCGCCACCATCACAATCTTCTCCAGATCCACAGCCCACAACCACCACCATCACAATCTTCTCCGAATCCACAGCCCACAACCACATTAAAAATAAGTTCCACACAGTAAGAATGATGAATGAAGTACTCTTCTGGTGGCAGCCCCACCGCCGAGTCCGGAGGCGGCGGAGAGATTTCGATCTCGTTCTGTCTCGGTGCAGTTCCTTTTCGTACGATTCCTTCTCTTCACCTTCTCTTCACCCCGCATCGATAGATCGGCAGGACTTAGGAGGCGTCGGCGGCGGTCGTGCCATTTCTAACGCCATAACTTTTGGGTAGGATAGGAGATAGTTTTTTAAGAAATTTTAGAAATTACAATCTGGTGTTGTAAATTAGCTTATTTATAATTGAATCGATATTATTTTATGTTTATTTACAGAGGGCTATTCGTAAGTTAAATTATATGGGGTATTTTGGTATTTTCACGGTCAGTCAATGGGAAAAAATCAAATGGGTCGAGTGTGCTGTCCAAAAATATTCATAGGGGGTATTTGCTAATTATTTTATGACAGGGGGAATCGCGCAGTTGCGATTTTCACTGGGGTGGTAAATGTAATTTACTCTACTTTAAAGGGTTAAGTGCTATCTACCCTAAATAATAATAGTAAAAAACTATTCAATAGTTTGAGGTCAAGAGTATTATTTAAAAGGGTAAATTACACACACCCCCCTGAGGTAAGCTTAAATAACTGTAAGGTCCCTGTGGTATCGATAATTACACTTAGCCCCCTGAAACGTAGTCAGAAACTCTAATGGGATAATGAATTGGATACGTTATTCCGATAGGGTTCTAACGGACTATTGGTTTCAGAAAGTGGTGAAGACAACAAAGAGCTATGGGGTGACATGGCTCCCCGAACATTCCCGAACATTTCTTAAATCACCCAATCGGAATAACATTATTCCGATACGTTATTCCGATACCACAGGGACCTTACAGTTATTTAAGCTTAACTCAGGGGTGTGTGTGTAATTTACCCTATTTAAAATTCATACTATATTGTCTTAGTCAATTCATCTGACATCCTAATTATAGTCAAACGGAGATTGTAAACATGTGCCTAAAAAAATAAAAAAATCAATAAAACAAAAGTGATTCTCCAATTGGGCAAGTACAGCTGGCCTTCCACTGTCGAGAGAGGGAAGTAAACGGAGTCACTTAGCCCAGGCCTTCGCTCGAGCCATGTGGCACAACTCCCGACTTGGAATGGGCAAGCCAGGTAATTGCTGCTTGCCTATAGCCCAACCAACTGGCCAGGCCCAACAACCAATCACATTAAAGCCCCCGTTCGGGTTATAAGCTCGCAATACTGAGCTCGGCCAATAAATTTAGTTATCTTAAGATATAAATAGCAGTCACTAATTATGTATTTTGACGATATGGGATTTCTTAAAGTAAAATTGGTCTTTTTTGCTCCTCTCATACTAAAAACATGGTAATCATACACAAAGTCATTATGCTCTTTGCAACAACTTAAGACCAACTAATAGCAGTATTTCATTTCACAAAAATGATGCTCATATGTAGATACATTGAGAGTTGGGTGTGGAGAGGACAATCATGCTTACATATTTTTAAATAATTGTGGCGGATTCGATATTAATACTTAAACTTGTTCAACACTTGTTCTACTCCAAAATTTGAATATCCAAAACCTGCAAATTTTGAAATAATCTAATGGGCTCGGCTTAATTTGTCTCACAATTCGACTGGTAAAGACATGAAGTGTTTCGAAAAACTGCAAATTATCCAAGTCAACTGAACCATGTGAAAGTAGTAGCATTCCTAATTTAGTGCAATGAAAGATTTATCTTCCAAAATGAACGCCCTTCCAAGTTCAGCAACAAATTCTCAAATATATAAAACATAAACATACGAGAATCATTAATCATTTCGAATAGGGTAAATTACAAACTACCCCCTGAGGTATTGTCAAATTACAAACAACCCCCTCTTGTTTGGATAATTACATCTACCCCCCTCAACTCCTCAAATTTAGTGGAATCTTCAAGATTATATGGAATATTATCACTTTTGTACCCGTTTTATCCCATTCAAACTCTACAATATGAAGCAAGATGATCATAATATGTGATTTTTAGCTTGTATATATCAGTTTGTGGTGCATCGGAAACTGTATTTTTAACACAAAACGAGTACAAACTAGAGCACATTTCACGGAATCTAGATGACTATGTTGAATGTGGCACCATAAAGGTGGATGTCTAAGAAAAAATCATAGTTGAGGGGGTTAGATGTAATTATCCAAACAAGAGGGGTGTTGTTGTAATTTGACCATACCTCAGGGGGTGTTTGTAATTTACCCTTTCGAATATAAAACATCTTCGAAAAATAAATAAAACATCTCTAACCAAAAAAAACAAAAAACTCAAACTATAGCTCCACAAACTATATACCAGAACTTTGAAAAAAACCACAATTGATTTACATCTTCAATCAAGTTTTTTGCCGTGCCACCTTCCTTTTCCTTTTTCCATTTATCTTGTCATGAGCATTGAAAAACAGCCCCACAAACCATTTTGGTCTTTCATACCGAAAAATGAAATAACCAATTGTAGTTCCAAATACGAACCCACTTACATACCCCAAAATAACAGCTCGCCAACTAAAACCATCAATAAAACCAGACTCATCATCGAAATGTGGGAGTTCTGGAAGCAAAGTTTGTACATTGTTGTCCTGTTTGCACTTTTTTGTCAATGGAAATCCGCACAAACCCGAGTTTTACAAATACGACTTGTTTTCAAATGTAGCCAATTGGCCTATCTGAGGTATCCGTCCAACAAGATTATTGAATGAAAGGTTCAACCGAGAAAGAGATGTCAACATGTTCAATGGCAATGGAATTTCCCCCACCAATCGGTTCGAAGACAGGTCCAACGATTCAAGTATACTCATATTTCCAAGAGATGCTGGTATATTCCCTGTGATGTTGTTACGAGACAAATTCAAGTACCTCAAAGAGTTGAGACTTCCAATATTTTGTGGAATAGTTCCGGAAAATCTATTATCAGACAAGTCAATGGTTGTAAACGTTGTCAGGATTCTCACCACTGGAAGCTCCAAACCTTTCAAAACAAATACAATTGTCTCTTGAAAGTACGAAAACCAATTTTCTTTTCCAATTCCATTTTCCTTCACATCCATCATGGCTCTAAAATTGTTTAAATATCTACTGGGCAAAGAACCATTAAATTTATTCTTGGATATATCAAAAACTTGCAACTTGGGAAACGGAAGCTCATTATTTGAATCCTGTAATATTGTACCATCAAATCTATTCGATCTCAAGACAAGCACTCGAAGCTCAACAAGAGTTTCCAACCAAAAGGGAAATACATCTTGTATTTGATTATTTCCAATATCAAGAACCTGTAGATTTCCGCAATTGACGAGAGATTGTGGTAGTTTTCCATCCAATTTATTCCCATTCATATTAAGCGACTCAAGAAGACAACCCTTTGAAAACGTTGACGGTAAATGACCGTGGAAATTATTCGCCCTTAAATGCAAAACTTGTAGAGACGGGCTCGAGTTTCCTAAACATTGTGGAATTGCCCCTTCCAAATTGTTATTCGACAAATGAAAATAGCTAAGAGATGTCAAGTTGCAAACGGAAAACGGAATCTCTCCTAAAAGTTGGTTAGAATGGAGTATTAGGCCAGAGAGAGCTGATAGATTCCCAATTGTGTAAGGTATTCGGCCGGATAGTTTGTTCATGGCAAGGTTTATAGAAATCAAGCTTGGGAATCTATCTATGTCTAGTGGCATAGAACTACCTTCTAATACATTGTTGGAAAGATCAATGTTGGTAATATTGAATGTGAACAAATCCCATGGAATATTACCTGAAATTTCGTTATTCGCCACCAGGAGGATTTGCAAACTTGTTAAGTTTGTATTAATGTTAGTCAATTGGCCACTTAATTGGTTGTCACCGAGAAGAAGATATGTCACTAAGTTCAAGTTCCCGATTTCGGATGGAATTGTACCAGAAAAGTTATTTGCATTAAGATATAAAAGATTTAGCTTTGATAGATTGCCGATTGCAGGAGTGATTGGACCTGAAAATTGGTTTTCTGAAAGATCTAAGGTAGTCAAATTGTTCAGTTTCCCGATCTCTGGGTCGATAGTTCCTGCAAATGCACATACAATAATGTGAATCCAATTCTGTGTATGCAAATATTGATATACATAGATATTTTTGTGAAACTTCTTTATAAATGATTCCAATATTTTGTTTAGGTAAATAAGTTACCACATGGCTCAATCATTAAAAAAAAAAAAGTCCGTTTTAGCTTAGTATTTGAAAGAAAGATGAACAAGTATGAGAATCAAGAAGAAATACGAAGAATCTTACCACTGAATGAGTTGTTTTTAAGGAATACTAGACAGGTGCACGTGCGTTGCACGTGTCGTGACAATGTCAACAATGGAAATCAAATAGAAAACAACAACGTCAACATTGGAAATCAAATAGAAATATACAAAGTAGTATAGTTGTCTTTGTCGCAAATTATAGTACAAAGCAAACGTTGTCATAATAAGGTGGTGCTCGTAAAAACATTAAAAAAAATAGAAGTTGGTAATTATAAGTTAAGTTAACGATAAGTGTTTATTTCTAATTGGGGGTGTTTGCAAAGTCCATGAAAAATCAACTTTAGGAACTTATTTTAGCAACTTATTTTAGGGGGAGTTGGTCCATGCATCTTTTTATATTTAGCTTAAAACAATGTAATTTTACAAGATTAGAAGCATAAGTTGGTACTACAAACACTCTCTAAGTGATTTTGAGCCAAAAAATGCTGAGATTGACTTTACAAAAGCTTTTACAACACAACCTAACTGCATTTCTGATAACATGACTTATCTATAGCCACTTTGTTGTTTCATTCATAAGGCCCTAAAATTTCCGGGAGCTACGTGTTAAATATTAAAGTACGTAGCACAAATAAATTGCGACATAACTTACACGTAGCAAGAATATTATTCATAATATGTTGTACACGGATTAATGTAACTTCATATTTAAATACATCAATTAATTTTTGGATTCTTTTCTCAAAAAAAAAAATTAATGTTTGGATTTCTAACTACATTATCAATATATTAGAAAGAACAACTTTTCCCAAAAAAGTAAGTAACTAAATAAAAAAAGAAAAAGTGAGAACAACAATTTATGCACTCAGAGTCTCTCCAGATTCAGATTGTCTCCATCTATTGTCATTTGTAATGTTAAGCGGAAATAGATATTTGATAAAATTATACTAAGGGAAAATTACGGCACACCTCCTGAGTTATGGTTAAATTATGAAAACCCACTCATGTTGTGGGTAATTATAGCCACCTCTCTCAACTATGTATTATTTTATGAAAAAACCCCTCATGAGGTAAATTTTGGGATGTTAAATTGGTAAAACCGAACCGAAATTTCGGTATGCCAACATTTCATACCGTTTACGGAACTGGATATACGATTTGATTCGGTAAATAACCGAATTAGGAGTGGGCGGCTGTAATTATCCAACAAGTGGGACTTTTTCGTGATTTAGACATACCTCAGGGGTCGCCGTAATTTGCCCTTATATTGATTGCTACTTCTTCGATATCATGGTTGCATTTGCTATTCTCGGAAAAATACTACCCAGAAAGTTGGAAATGTTAAATATTAAAACACCAAAAATACATTATTTGCATACTTACATAGTAAAAGTCTATTCTTGTACCGGTTCTTTGATTTTCCCTCTAAGAAAAAACAAAAAAAATTTGAAATATAAAACATTGTATAAATCAACAATCTATCAAAACCTAAAGGGTTAAATACAATTTACACCCCTAATGTATATCATTTGTAACACTTATCCCGTAAAGTATTATTTGTAACACTTATCCCTCTAAGAGAAACTCCAATGGGAGTATCAAATGGATTATCAACCCCATAAACTACCTTTTTGATATCCCAAAACTAAAAATTTCTATTCCAATGGGAGTATCAAAATGTGTAAGTATTTTGATAATCTACCTCTTCATAAGTAAAAATACATCCTGGAATTTGAGTTATCAAAAAAATAACCACCTAAACATGCAATCACAAAATGACACGTGGCAATTACAAATAAAACCACTAAAAACTTTGTGGAGAATTGCAATGCTTGGAGAAATAATCAAATAGGCGTATACTAAGGTGGTGTTTGCAAAAGCTTATTTAAAAACATAAGTTAGTGATTGTGAGTTAAGTTGATATTAAGTGCGTAATTCTAAAAGTTTGGGGTGTTCACAAAAATCTGAAAAATTAATATAAATAAAAAAAATAAGTACATAGGTGCTTTTAAAATTATAGCTTAAATCAGCTTATTTTAAGAAAAGTAAAAGCAACAGTCAACTTTGCAAACATCTAAAAACAAATTGTGTGAGAAAAAAAGCTCGTAATCTATTTCTAAAAGATTTTGCAAACACCACCTAAATAGTAAATAGCCAATGTATGTTAACTCATTCCAACTGATTCAAAAGTGGCTAGTGAAATTAGTTTGGGATTGGGCCAAATAACTCACTATTTGGTTGGGCCTAATTAACTAATTATAATTAAATATTAAAAAGGGCTTAATCCCATTTTCCACCCTTGAAGTATGACATTGACAATTCGCACGCTTGAAATAAATTAATAGCATGTTGCACCGTCGAAACACAATAAATCATTCACAATACACTTTGAATTGGATATTTTAAACTTAATGAGGGTAATTTATTTTTTTATTGGTTTTTTTAATTTCTAGGGTTCAAATAATAAATTAAATTATTATTTTCTTCCGCCCTGGACATAATTTCGAGTGTACGAAATGCGAAAAAACAAAAATGACAAAAAAATACTGAAAAAACTATATTATTTTATCAAAAATAAAACAACAAAAAAATCACTAAATTATTCGATTGATGGATTTTTATATTGTAATTAGTAAATGTTTTGTAGAAATCTTTGGAATAAAATATAATTTTCAAATAATTTCGTACTTAAATAGCTGAAGGATATATTTGTTTTTTGTATAATTTTTTTGTGAAAATAATAATAATAATTTAATATGTTGATGAAATGTGTTTTTATATTTTCACTTTGTAATTTATAATTGATTGATGACTAAAAAAAATTGATTTGACATTTGACATCCTAAAAAATACCACAAAAAATATTAAGTTGCCTTCATTAACTTTAAAAATTCATTTGAGGTGCATTATGCATGATTTATTGTGTTTTGAGGTTGCAAAGTGCTATAATATTTTTTCAAGGGTGCAAGGTGCCAAAAAGCTATATTTCAAGGGTGCAACGTGGAATTAAGCCTAAAAAAAGGCTTTGTCCGAAACATAATAATCTATTGAGAAATCGAATTTCCCAAGTCCTCGCTCAACTTAGTTTATGATTTTGAGTAAGCAAATAAATATAATTAATTTCCACATAATCTAATTAAGAACCTGTTTGGCTAAGCTTATAGCTCCTAAAAAATCTTATAAGATGCTTAAAAGCTTATAAGTTGTTAAAAGGTGTTTGGTAAAAAAATTACAAAAGATCTTATTATTTCAAAAAAATAAGCTGTTAGGAAGCTTATAAGATGTTTTTCCAAAAGTACCTACACCCCACGTTTTTTCATTAAGATCTTATTTGCTTCTTTACTAAAACACTCAAAATACAAAAATTATCCTCAAATACTTTGTTATATTACATGAATGCTAATAACATTTATATTTTAACAAAACAACGTATTCTTATAATGAAGATTAGTAAAAATATAATTATCATAATTATCATAATAATTGTGAAAAAAATCTCTATTTATATTTTTTATGTATATAAAAATACCCGAATATTCTTATTATCTCAATAATAAATTATATTTCTTTTATCTATAAAAAAATATATTTCTTTTACAACCTATATTTTATATTAATGTATTAATACCACAAAAAATTAAAACTTTCACAAACCTAATTCATCAAAATAATTTATCACACTTCATTTTATTTTAAAAATGGCCAAATATCATATCAATATACATAAAAAATCATTTGGTTTATTTAACATATGATTATTATTTTTATTCGAAAAATTAATTTGTAAATATTATAATATTCTTTAGGTACAAAAGTATTTGAATGAAATAAGTTTAACAGTTATAATAGCGTCATATTTTTTGTTGTCATTATAGCGATAAACAAACATTTTATTTCCAAACACCTAAACAACTTATAAAAACTAAAAGTAACTTATAAGCTACATATCCAAAAACTTTAAAAAATAATTTTTAAAATAAAATCTAACAGCTTATCAACTCCTAAAACATCTTATTAGATGTAGGAGCTTATAAGATGTTTTAAGTAAGCTTATCCAAACAGGCTCTAATATTACTCAATATTATTAATTGAAAATCATAAATGTTCCAACATTGTATCAGTCTTTATTGTTGTAATTTGGACACCTTACCTTTTCTTTAATCTTAAAGATAGATAATTTGCATAAATTATACTCCATATATGTGAGGTAATCTCACCGTTTCAATAATTTTATTAAAAAAAAAAAAATTGTATCAGGTAAGTTGTAACTGCTACTTGTTTTACTATTAATAATGTATGTTATGTATTTTTTTTACTTTCAATTAAAAAAATCCGCATAATATCTCACGTAGTGGTGTAATTTCCTTAGCTTTGTGCTAATTTTTTTATCAATAATTAAGTGATGATATTGCCATTTTATGATACTCAAGTTTAAATTAAATGCACATATTAAATGTCTTCGAAATTTCATATAATACCTTATTTTCTGTTTTTCAAAGGCTTCATTTATCAAGTAGATGACTAATATTAATATATTCTACCATATTCTCTTTATTCATTTATTTTATTATGAGAATACAACTTTTTGAATCATAAGTTGAATTCTTATTTTTTCTTTTGAAATCGAATTATGCTTGAACAATATGGTGAAAATTTATCCCCAGACAAAGTAATTTTCTAAATGATTCTAAATATACATTATTTTCATCGTAATTTTCTAAATGATTCTAAATATACATTATTTTCATCGTTTAGTCCTTATTCTCTAAAGTGTTATTTTTAAATAAAAGTTTCTTCGAATTTGTAAATAAAATTTCAACCTAAATAAGAAGAAAAAAAAAATCATTTCTATAAAATTCTATATATGTTATGAAACACTGCTGAACAAAACCACTACCTAAACCGGAAAATCCACTCACCCTAAAAAAACAAAATATCATTTATAGGAAATTCGATATTAAACACCGTAGAACAAAACCAATTCCTAAACCTGAAAAGTCCGACATCCAACTCTCGATACACATCAAGCAAATAAGTTTAATCTCTTGTACATAAGTTGCCGTTTTATTTCAATGCTAAGAAATTTGTAGTGACGTACGGCAAATTTTTCGAATTTGCAACAAAAAACTGAAAAGCAAATAAAAAATGAATGATAAATCTACAAAACAGATAAAAGAGAACACACATAGCTCCTTGTACTTGCCAAATATAGTTGCCAACGGTTGACCGAAGAACTTGTTGAAAGAAAATGGAGAAACATGTTTCCGTTAGTACACCAAAATGTGAAAGTGGAGAATTGCCCTTCTTTCCACTCTAAATATAATGCATTTTATAGTAGCAAAAAGGTAGTCAAAGGGTCGATTTTAGTATTCATTCTCCTAAACTCCTCAAATTCTTTAACCAATTATTTGAATCGGTTACTTAAACATTCATGTACCTATTCATTTGTAGATTTACCTCTACGTATAGATGTGTTAATTGTTTTATTTAACTAAATTGTTTTTACTAACTTAATCACCTAGGGGCATTTTTGTATATAAAAAAATGGAAGAAACCCCAATCATATTCATCCTTTTATAGATAGTATAGATAATAGCTTAAGTGACGTCATATTTCCAATTTCTCTCGGCAACGCACCACTAAGTTTGTTGGACGACAAAATCAACATTTGAAGCTTCGAACAACGACCCAAATTGGAGGGTAATTTACCATGTAACATGTTGTTATCCAGAGAAATCTGGAGGAGGCTATCAAGATTACCGTGGCTGCATAAGTCGACGGGCAAAGTTCCCGATAAATTGTTATTTGGTATGGAGATAATTCCCAACGAAGATATGTTAAAAATGCTTGGAGGTATTGAACCCGTCAACTTGTTAAATCCCATTAACAACATATTTAACTGATGAAGATTACCTATCTCTTCTGGAATAGTACCTGCGGGATATTGTCAAATTATGAAAAAATCAGTTCAATTGTCAAACATAAAAAAATGTGCTTTTACAATTGTTAATAAACTCCTCGTGTTATTCTATTAGCAAAAGCCCCCTATGTTTTCTTAACAAATTAAAGTAAGATTCATCATAGAGACAAAGAGATCAAGAATTCATACCGTCCAAATTGTTGAAACTAAGGAAAATCGAGGTAAGCCCTGTGATGTTCCCAATTTGTCTCGGCACATGTCCCGTAAAGTTGTTGAGCATTAAAGACAATACTTGAAGCTGTAGACATTGGTCGAAAGTCGACGGTATTTCTCCATATAAATTGTTTTGATACAGAGAAAGTGCTTGTAGCCTTTGAAGACTACCATGGCTGCAAATATCCACAGGCAGCTTTCCAGATAAGTTATTATTCGCCAACGAAATAATTTCCAATCTCGACATATTAAATATGGATCGAGGAATACGACCGTGGAAAGAGTTTCCGCTCATATCTAGAGATACAAGAGAAGAAAGATTTCCGATTTCGGGTGGGATTGTGCCTACAAGACCCATATTTGAAATATCCAATTCGGTCACTCTACTGTGGCGGAGATCGCAAGTGACTCCAATCCAACTGCATACAGAGGTTTTAGTGGTCCAATTATTCGTAAGACCATTGTAAGGATCTGAAGTTATGTGGGATTTCAATATTGTAAGAAATGAAGATTGATCGTCGTTGATAGTATTGCTGCCGAAGCTCGTATAATGATTCACCGATAACAGCACTTCAACAAGAAGAAAACATAGCGAGTAGTGTCTCTCTATCTTGTAGTGAAATGATTATGTGAGGTAAAACAGAATTGAAGTTAAAGTAATTATAATATGATAAAACCATTGTCATGAAGGAAGAGAGAACATGAATTATTTGCAAGTTGTTGGGTGCTAAATACCAACACGCAAGTGCACGTATCGCAAACAAGTAGTAAAGTAGACTCGTGAGAGTCGGATGTCGATCCCACAGGGAATACGCAAATTATTTAATCCTAAGTACCAAATCCTAACAATTGTGATTTTTATCCAGCCTACGCAGGGTTGTCAAATTAATTAACTAAATAAATTAAACTAATTAAGAACGCAAGTAATCACGAGAAAAAATCAATAATAAACGGATCTAGGATTTTATTTTCCCCCTATGCGATAATTCTTCACCCAATTAATCTCCTATTATGCAAGTTACGATTCTCGATTATTAACCCAAGACACGAAATTATTCATAACCAGCTGTCGCTGCGCTTTAAACCTATTATTCATAAAAGATTCACTATATGTCTATGCAAACCTAGTATAAATAAAGCATTAAATAACAAGTCTCGACAACGGCTACCTAAGGTATTATCTGTATGTCTACGATAATACATGCAATCAACACACGCATTCGGTGAAAAACTACTCGAAGGCTCTTCTATCCCTGTTCTAATTATTAAAACGATCTGTCAATCAATTCTAACAATAACAAATAGCAACATAAGTTAGCTACGCTCATGCACTAAATACGATCAAGATAGAAGAAATAATCGAAGAATTAAACTTGCATAAAAGTAGAAAAAATAGGTTCGAATTACCACATAGGGTTCCAATAAAATCCTAGAATAAAAACTTAGCTACTCATGTTCGTAACGAAAAACATAATAAAAATTCGAAGATTCATAAAATCAGAAAAGAAAAGGAAAAAGGAAAACTAGGATGAAGATTCGTCAGGTCTTCGTCTTCGTTCTCTTGCTCCTTGATTGCGTGTAGAAAAGATGAAAAATAAAAACTAAAGAAAACGATAAAAGATAAAAAAAGATCCCTCTAATTGTGTGCTTGTGGCCTTTAAATAGGGTGCAAAACTATAATAGGGCGGGTTTCCTTGTGTAATTGGGTTTTCCTTCACTGCGCCATCACGTCCACCCGGACGGCCGTGTGAGATTTTGAACTAAAATCCGCACGGCCGTGCGGTCTTTTAATTCTTCAGAAATCTGATTTTTTCACTTTTGGCCCACTTTTTCTCTGAATTTGCAGTTTTCACCCCAAAAGTTGCCAATTCTTCAATTTGCACCTAAAATACAATTAATAACCATATTAAGCACCAATTATCGTAAAAACACATCAAAAGCTCCAATTAAAAGGTACAATTAAGTGTATAAATATACACTTAACACAAGTCAAGTCAATGGAAAAAGCAAAATACTAAATTATCTGACGTACATAGAAGCTTATAAGTTGAAATAGTTGAATAAGTCCATGTTATTTAATACAAATACCGTGTGGTCTGACGCACTCTGAGGTTGAAAATCACTGAGGGACAACTCACACGCAACTTATAAGCTTTGACTAGTGTTTTCAATATTATCTACGTACAATTAATTTAAGGGAAAAGTACAGTTTGCACTCCTGAACTACCCCTAACTTTGATCGCAAGCTAGGTTATATGTTCTTTGCTCATCTGCTTTCCTCTGTTTTTTCCTTACTATGGGCCGAACTAAAGTTTCTTCACATTTACAATGATATAAGTAAAACAAATAAACGGCAAATAATATTATTTTGTCAATAGAGTATCCGTTGCCTGTGATGGCAGCTCATTTGAATCCGGCTTTCTGGTTCTTCCATGTGTGGCAGCTCATTTAATTTGAACCAGGCCAATTATAATTATTCTCATCTCATCTCATACTCGATCGGATTATTTCATTGCTTATACAAGTTTACATTTTGTAGATTATGATCATCGACTCATTTTTGTGTGAGCATATGGAAACGAAAAGAGACTGAATTCGAAAAGGCCAATGTTGCATAGAACTAATTTTTTTTTTTTTTTTGGCGCCAAAAAGATTTTATTATTCCACTATTGTAAAAAGTTTGGTGCCTTGCTAAAATGTTGTAGGCTCACACAAGGAAAAGGAGTACCCTTAGAGCAACTCCAATGAGGGAATCAAATGGAGTATTATATGATAAAACTTTCATTTTGATTCCCAAAACTTAAAATTTATTCTCCAACGGAAACATCAAAGGGGTAGTTTTTTTGATACTTTATCTCTTAGAGGTGCAAAAATGCACCCGAAAAAACCAAGTATCAGATATTTCTAGAAATTAGGAACTGCAATTTCAACGTAAAAAAGATAAAATTTCTAACAAATTCCTATGGAATAGGGACCAAATATATCTATTAATTTATGTTTAATACATATTTAAAAATAAAACAATTTATTTAATTCCTACGGGTTGGAGCATATAAGGTTTTTCAAAATACCAAAGTATTATTTAAAGCATCAATTAAGGATTTAGATGCCTCATTTTAATACCTACCATTGAAGTTGCTCTTACAAGGGCAATAAAACATCAGATGACACCCTACCAAGTCTGTTACACAAAAGCGCCAAATTGGGGTTGAAAAGATAAAAACTAAAACTGCCTAGACTGTTAAAGACAAAATATTCTGAAAATGCTGTAGAGACCCCAGGAGGGGGTTGAAGTGCAATTATGCAGAAATAGCAGGGTACGCAATCAGAAATTTCAGAAATTGCAGAAAAGACCCCAATCAGTAGTGTCCATGGGCAGGTTTGCCCACAAACCAACCCATTTTTCTATTTACTAATCCTAATATTAATACTAATACTAATATTAATACTATTTATAATACTAATATGTTAATATTGTTAATGTTAATGCTAACGTACATATTTTCATGCTAATACTAATGTTAATATTAATTTTAATCTGGATATGCTTATGCTGATTATAATTGTAATATTAATATTATCCAAATCCTTATCATATTCATAATCCTATTCATATCACTAATCATGATTCTAATCCTAAACCTATTTCTAACATTAATTATAATCCTAATAATTTTACTACTAATAATACTAATGCTATGCTAATGTTAATTCTAATTATAATTCTAACCATAATCCTAATCCTAATGCTAATCATAATCATAATACTAATACATGTCACTAATTGTAGTACGTATCAATAACCATAATCTTAATTATAATTCTAATACTAATATTAATCATAATCATAATCCTAATATTAATTGTAATACTATATTAATCCGAATCCTAATCCTAGTATTAATACCAGTACTAATTCAAAGAATATTAATTATAATCCTAATTCTAATGCTAATACTAATCACAATCCTAATTATGATTTTGCATCAAAGTTTTTGCAATTATCTAATATTTTGTATCAATTTCTATTCAATCTCGCAACTTTTATATCAAATTCCTTACGTGTGGTACCTTAAACATCAAGAAACACATTTTAAATATATTATAAATTAATATTTAATTATATTATCAAACTGAAATTAAAATTATTTAAATCAATATAAGGGTGTAAGCAAACATTAAGACGTGAAAATAACGATAATAGTTGTTAATAGGATAAATTACGAAAATCCTCATGAACTTAGACTAAATTACGGAGATCACCACCACTTATCGGTAATTATCAAAATCCCCCAGATGTTTGTTTATGTCTTACACAACCCCCTTATGGTGTGATTTTTTACATAATCTTTTTTATTCCATGTAATATCCCAAAAATTGTGGATTCTACCCTTGCAGATATGACATTTCTTTTATCTTACTTTTTAAATACAAAAATTACCTTTAGGAGAGGTAATAATAATACTAAAAAGTTGTGAAAATGTTATTTAAAAAAAATTAAATATTTCGTGTAAAGTCCCCTGAGGGTAATTTTTGTCTTTAAAAAGTATCATAAACAAATGTCATGTGCTGAGTAGAATCTGGATTTTTTGGGGAATATTCCACGTAATAAAAAAAAATCCGTGAAAAATCATCGTAAGGGGGTCGATGTAAGACGAAAATAAACATCAAAGAGACTCAACTCAAATCATTCATGAAAACAAAAGTAGAAGCTACAGTTGAAAGGGCTTCATTCCCCCAAAGTGATATGAACAGACTTGGAGACTATAACAGGGAAAGTCTTCACTTTTACAGAAATGAATTCAATATCAGTGTCAGCCTCATTTCCTCTTATAGCGATAGGATTCCTTTTTGCTTCTAGAAGACAGTCTAGTCTGGATTTGATAATTACGAATATACTATTAAATTAGTAAAAAAGATAAACGTATTCTCTGGTCATGTTCATGTAAAATGTATAATATCAAATGATTTATTCTGCAATATTTTTTTTATATAAATCCAATTTTATGAATTAAAATACAAAATTTTCTTAACTCCATCAATCATACAATTATAATAAATGAACATTTTAAATTGAATTTAAAAATTTAAATTAAATTGGTTACTATTAAAATTAAATTAAAAGATAAAACTATTTAGAGTTTTCAAGAAATTTGTAAATGGTATGATATAAATATATAATTAAATAATTAAATATTTTTTTAATTTTGGAAAATGGTGACATGTTTTTTGATGATTTATTTTCACCAATCAATTTGCCACATGTGATGAAATTGAATACATGTCACCAATTGAAATTGACAAATGTCAATCAATTAGGTGTGGAATTCAACTTTTATATATTATATAGATGATAAAGGTTGTTGTAGTCATTTTTATGTATTTTTCCTAAAACCAAGGCACATTTAATGAGTTTCTTAATATTTGTGAAAATTGAAAAGAGACACTTATTTAGGAACGGAGGGAGTAATATTTAATTTGCATAATTACTTTCAAAAGAACTTTGTGGCTCTGTCTGAACCCCGTAAACATTTGATTTACCTTAATTTTGTCAATATTTTCTCCAAAATTCTTAACTCCTAATAAAAAAGTTTTGATTCGACCGTGCTCGTTATAACGAATTAACGTGTACATTATACAATACAAATAATGACCCATTTTTACATTTTTTTAAAACTTACCTATGACCCCTAATTTTTTAGAACATCCCTGGTGTGATCCAAAAAAAAAAAAAACAGTTGAACTTGATTGCCATTTAATATATATAATCGATACTTATCGGATATTTTAATGTATAATAATTTCAAATATTTATCAATAATTAAAGTTCAATACTATATATAATGTATTTTGTTAATTTCCTGTTTAATTGCTGAAAATTATACTTGCATATTGAATTGTGTGTTTTGTCTCTATAAGGAGATAGAACGTTCATACTGGGTATATTTTGGGACAAGTTTTGGGGTTTAAACTCAGGCATAAAATTTAAGAGTTTTTAGCATTCGTACCCCTATGTAATTTATAATGGTAAAAAAAAAAGCATATATTAAAACAATTAGTACATACCTCCCTATATAAAATAGTCAAATCCAGTAAGAACCCTGTGAGTTGGTCGTGTGATACACTCGCCAAATATACGACAGGGGTTCGATTTTTGACATAAAAAGACCAAAATAACCTTTAACCTATAAATTTGAAAAATATTACCCAAATAAAGTTTTTAATATTTTCAATTCAATCCCTTGAAGTTTCAGAAATGCTCTCTTCTCCCAGGTTAGGGGACTAAATTGCAATTTTCCCATTCAGGCACAAGGCTTAATAAAGAGGAAAGGCAAAACTCCGACGGCCCTTCAACTTCGATCGCGGCTCCTCCACTACGAAAGGCAAAATTCCGGCGACGGATAAAGATAATTCAGGCTATTGGATTGTAGAGCACATTTAAACTCATTCTTCTCTCTTATTTCATAGCACTAAGTTCTCTCCAAAGAAAAACAAACCCAAATCTGGGCTTCAACCTCTTTTGATACTAGATCAAGAAAAAACAAAAAAAAGCCTGTGAAAATCCAAGAAAATATCTGCCCTCATCGGACATTTTCAGAAAAACAAAAGCAGAATAAACAGAGCTTTCCAGAAGAAAACAAATCCACGAAAAAAACAATTTTTGTATTTTTTTGGCTTCTTCTCCGGCATCTCTCGGTAGTAGCCCCCCGTTATAGCCTTATAGGCTTCTGTGGTTGTTGCTTCTTCGCCTTTGGTGCCTTCATTGTATTTGTGAGTATGGTGTATGATACAGAGATGACCATGGCGGATGGCGGAGGAGAGATCTAGACGGCAGCGTAGAAGGCAGCGGAGATGAACGGGAAAGAATCGTGTTGATGACCCTTTTTTTAATTTTTATTGACGCTTTTTTTTTTATGTTGTATTTTAATGAGAGTAATATAGCCACTTCCTTAAAGTCAACATGTTTATTTCCGCTGGAGGACAGTGAACTATATAAGCTAGGTGACAGTGAACTAAATAAAATGCAACGTGGAGGCAATTGCTATTTTTTTTTAACATGGGATTTTTTTTTAACCATTACAGATCAACTAGGGAGGTCTGTGCAAATAACTCTAAAATTTAATTGAAAAATAGCCACAATATAAGTGAGTTATTGTATCCGTGAATACTATAGAAGATCAAAAGATTTATTGCGTAAAACTCCAGTGTATTTCATCTCTAAAATACGATGGAGTTAGCTAGTTATTTCTTTCTCTTTTTTTTTTTTGGTAAAGAAAAAGGTAATTTATTAGGCATAGTTAGCCAAAAAAGATTCGACCATAATAACAAGCTCAAGCTTCAATATATATGTATATAACAGCTAAGGTTTTTGAAGTGGAGAAAAAGTTAGTGATTGATGCTCAATAAGTTTGCACATAAAATATGCTAGTTTAGTTGATTTCCATAGATATGTAGATAAGGTTAATTTTGATGTGTATAAGGAATTAGTGATGCGTATTAAGTCTCTTTGTACATTAGTCTGAGTCGTCTTTGTGCATCAGGACGAAAAAACGATGCTACTTCATTCGGTTCATGTGGTTGGAGTTCCGCCATTGACTTGACTTACCAAAAAATTTATCATGCTTCCCTCCTCACATTATAAATGATCCTAAACATATATATCCATAATTCAAAAATATATACTACTCCTTTAGAAGTTCTTCTTCATTGTTGCATTGTTGTTGTTCATCAATGCAAAAAGTAGCAGCAATATCAACCATGATAAATCTTCCCTTCTTACATTGAAATCCCATATTACCTCAGATCCATACAATGTCCTAAGAAATAATTGGACCATCGAAACCTCTGTTTGCAGTTGGATTGGGGTCACTTGTGACTCTAGCAACAATAGGGTGCACAATCCCGCCAGAAATTGGAAATCTTTCTTCTCTTGTGTCTCTAAACATGAGCGAAAACTTGTTTCACGGCCTTCTTCCAACATCTATATTCAACATGTCGTCATTACAAGTCCTTTCCTTTAGGAACAATAGCCTATCTGGAAGTCTCCCAAAGGACATGTGCAGCGGCCACAGTAATCTTCCTAGATGGCTCAGAGTATTGCGTTTATCTTACAACAAGTTTGATGGTGAAATATCGTCGAGATTGGGTCAATGTTCACATCTTGAATTGATCTCCTTGAGTCACAACAATTTCGTCGGAAACGTGCCCGGTGGAATCGGAAACCTATCTTCTCTTGTGGACTTGTTTATGTTTGAAAACTTACTCCATGGTCCTGTTCCGACATCTATTTTCAACATCTCGTCATTACAAGTTGTTTCCTTCTGGAACAATAGCTTGTCAGGAAACCTGCCAGTGGATCTGTGCAGCCACAATAATCTTCCCGAACTCAGCGAACTTGATCTATCTTATAACAAGTTTGATGGAGATATACCGTCGAGTTTGGGTCAATGTTTACAGCTTGAATCGATCGACTTGTCTGATAATGGATTCGTCGGAAATGTGCCAGGTGGAATCGGAAATCTATCTTCTCTTCTGAATCTGTATATGAACAACAACTTACTCCGTGGTCCTATTCCGATATCTATTTTCAACATCTCGTCATTAGAAGTTGTTTCCTTCTAGAACAATAGCTTGTCAGGAAACTTGCCAGTGGATCTGTGCAGCCACAATACTCTTCCCAAAAAATAATAAAAAATACGAGGACGTAGGAAATTGAATTTGGCACGGTGATTGTTGGGGCCGTTTGGTCAGATTTCGAGAATTGCTCCGAAAACGTCGGGAGCGACTAGTTTTTGGCAAGGTTGCTAGGTTTTGGGTTTCGGGTTTTGGGTTTTGGGTTTCGGGTTTCGGGTTTGAGAAAACTTTCTCTATTTTATAACAAGTTTGTTGAGAAATACCGTCGAGTTTGGGCCAATGTTCACAGCTTGAATTGATCGACTTGTCTTATAATGGATTCGTCGGAAATGTGCCGAGTGAAATAAAAAATCTATCTTCTCTTGTGAATCTATACATGGACAACAACTTCTTACATGGTCCTATTCCAACATCTATTTTCAACATCTCGTCATTACAAATTGTTTCCTTTTTGAACAATAGCTTATCCGGAAAACCTGCCCCTGGGTATGTGCGACAACAATAATCTTCCCAGACTCAGAGAACTTTATCTAGATTATAACAAGTTTGATGGAGAAATACCGTCGAGTTTGGGCCAATGTTCACAAATTGAATGGATCAGCATTTCTAATAACGGATTCGTCGGAAACATGCCGAGTGAAATCGGAAATCTATCTTCTCTTGTGAAGATATTTATGTCCAACAACTTACTCCATGGTGATATATTTCTTGAATTTCATCTTCTCTTTGAAGTTTAAATTTTGCAATTTTTATATTTATCTTTTGCCTGTCCTTTTAGCTATGTGGAAATATACAAAGTGATTATATAACGGTCCCATATATAATTATTTCACGACAGTCGTAAACTAGTTATTCTAACGAAATTTAATTCTCACGTCCTTATAACTGAAACTATTTTTCATGATTTTCATTGATTTGGAAAATTCATAAAGTCATCCAATTGCATGTTGTATTGATTTTGGATCGTATAATTATATATATAATAGAACATCGATAAATTAATAACCTCATTCAAATAATATTTTCTCACGGTCCCCGACTCAAGGGCAATATGTTAAAAAAATATTTTACTAAATTAATAGAATTTGACTAATCCTATCTGTATTAATTTATAGAGGTTTAAATGTATTTCAATTCTTTCAAAAAAATTCCATGATAATATATTTCATATTTTTATCATTAATTCGGAAAAGGATTAAGTCGTTAAATCTTGGGTTGCGTTCTTTCTAACATGAATTATTTTTTTGTCCAAAAAAATGTTTTTTTTTGTCTTATATTTGAATTGCCCTCACAAACTTTGATCAGGTTCAATACCTTATGCGATTGGAAATCTATCAGAACTCAGTTACCTAGATCTCCATTCCAACAAATTAAGAGGGGAGATTCCACCATCCCTCTGCAACTTAAGATACCTTGAATATCTCCATCTATCACACAACAGTTTGGAAGGGTCAATTCCACATTGTCTCGGAAACTTCAGCAGAGTTTTATTTCTCTTGCATCTAAAGGAAAATCTATTTCACGGCCTCATTCCTGCAACATTTACAAAGGGTTGTCTTCTTGAGTCACTTAACTTAAATGGTAATAAACTTGAGGGAGCATTACCCAAATCTCTTGTTCATTGCAGAAATCTACAAGTTCTTGATGTGGGAAACAATGAAATAGAAGACATGTTCCCAGTTTGGATGGAAACTCTTCCTATTCTTCGAGTTCTTGTCCTAAGATCCAACAGATTTAACAGTGCCATATTGCTCGATTCGAACACGACGACTACATATCCCACAACGAGTTCACGGGCATTTTACCTGCCAGATACTTGGAGAACTTTGTATCCATGATCAATGTGAAAGAGAATAAAGCAGAAGAAAGTAATTGGTTTTCATATTATGAAGAGTCAATGGAGTTTGTTTTGAAAGGAGTGGAGCTTCCAATTGTGAGACTTCTGATAACATTTACAACCATTGACATGTCCGATAATAGATTTTCTGGGGCTATTCCGCAGTCCATAGGAAACCTTAATTCTCTCAGGTACTTCAATATGTCTCGTAACAACATCACAGGGAATATACCAGCATCTCTCGGAAATATGAGTATACTCGAATCGTTGGACTTGTCTTCGAACCGACTGGTGGGGGAAATTCCATTGCAATTGACAAAGCTGACGTTTCTTTCCAAATTGAACCTTTCATTCAATAATCTTGATGGTCAGATACCTCAGTCTAGTACCGGTCAATTTCCAACATTTGACAACACTTCGTACATGGGAAACTCGGCATTATGCGGATTACCATTGACCAAAAAGTGCAACCAGGACAATGTGTCAAGTTTGGTTCCGGTGTAGCCACATGGTGATGATGACTTCGGTTTTATCGATGGTTGGGTTCGTATTTGGAACTACAATCGGTTATTTCATTTTTCGGTATGAAAGACCCAAATGGTTTGTCGGCCTGTTTTTCAATGTTCAAGACAAGATTAATTACAGAAGCAAGAAAAGAACCAATGCGGTACGACGAGGAAGAACTTGATTTAAGATGTAAGTTTTCAACTTGTCTTTTCATTGTTCATTCAGTAGTATACTATATGATATTAGAATTTATTTGATATTATTGTGTAAGCACATTAAAATAAATCTCCTCAACCTTGATTTCACTTGAGGATGATCTATGTCGATGCATGTTGAAAAGGTAAAGATAAATTCTTTGTTTTATTCCTTTCATTTTCAAAAAATGGGTGAAAATAAAGAAGAAATCGATAAGATTATATATAGATCTTTGTAGCTTACTTTGAATAATGTGGTTGATTAGTTTTTGTGAAGTTCTTGGATAAATATTGAAAGTCTAAATGCCTTACTTGAAGTCCAGGCTGACTAACTACGAGTACGTACTTCCTATAGTAGATTAGTTGTGGTTTGATTCTACTTATAAACGGGCTCGTTAAATGCATGGTTATTGTTGAAACTTTAGATTTATTTTTCAAAGGATCTGATACGGTTTTTCATGCATGCCTTCTTTCTATAGAACATGGATTATGTGATGAAAAGTAGGAAGTGATTAATTCACTCTATAGCCTTGAAAAAGGGAAAAGGAAATGGGGATGAATTCCGAATATAGAAGGTAACGGTGAAGGAAAATCCGTGAAAACAACGCTATAGTTTTGTGTATTTATTTGTAAGTAAATACGTAAGTATTATGTGTCTATGTGATATGTGACTTTGTTATTACTTCAAGATTCTCATTGAGTCTTCAAAGGCTCATATAGGTGTTTTATGTTTGTAGGTGTACCTGATTTGGATCCCAAGGCGTAGAATTGAAGTCGGGTTCGAGAATCAGGGACGAGTTCATATGGGGCTGTACTTGTTTAATTTACTTCTAAGGACAATATGTGTAATAGTAAGTAGGATTACCGTGCTGAATCATGTAGTCGGTGATCCGTAAGATCTTTTGTAACCGAAAGCTAATTTTATCAACTTTTTATAAATGCTTTTCGGATGGTTATGTTGCTTATGATATTCATGTACCAGCAACTACCACTATGATAAACAAGTATGGTAGTTGACACATCACACATGAAACACTAGATTCATTCGTTATTTTACAAATGCTCGGCACAAACAACAAAATCACATGACACATAATAATAATAAGAGTAAAAAGAATCAACAGGTTCAATTTTTTAATAAAATATTAGAACAAAAAATATTTAACAATAATATACCCAATAAAACCATAAATTGATTAAATGATTTTCACTAAAAAACACTTATGCAAAATTATTGCAGGAGCTTTTATCTTTCTTCATGTAACAAAAATTAGAACAAAGGAAATAAGATACATACTAATTACAAAAATTTATCAATGATTGCAGAGAAGCTTTTATCTTTCTCCAATTCCGTTAGATAGTATACCATTAAAAAATCCAACCCAATAAATTAATTTGGTACCTTAAGAGTTGAGACCTTTCTTCTGCACAAAAGACAAAATATTCAATTTATATATATACTCAGCCATCACAAACAAAATTTTCCTACCATGAATGCGAACAATTAGAAGGAACGGTTGTGAAAATCAATTTACCTTTTGTTATCTTTCCAATTTCAAAGCATACAGACAAATACAGTCTAATTTTTAAAATTACAATTAGGGTTCATCTAGAAGCTTTATGATTGGGATGAGAAGTTTTCAAAGGAATGATGCTTCTTAATTCTTCGATGTAAGAACATAAGAAAAGAGAGAAAATTACCCGGTGTTCTTCAGCGGGAACTCATCGGTTGTGTGTCGCTAAATCTATCAATAAATACTTTAACCCTAATCAGTAATCCCTCACTTTTCAGTAATCCTAAATATTTATGTTAGTAACCGATCAAATGTGTGTCGCTAAATCTATCAATAAATATTTATTTTAGAAACAGGATCGGAAATTTAATTATCAAAGGGACGATATTGTCATTCGTTGCTAAATTCATTGCTAAATACTTGCTTTAGCAACGAATCAACCATCCGTCACTAATTGCCATAGCTATATAACAATTTTCTAGTAGTGTTTCCTGAAGTTATTCATTCTACTTGGCAAATCTCCTGTTCTGATCATTTATATATATCATTAGCATGATTTGGGTAAATAATGAATTATATAAATAAGTGAGAATCAAGTTCGACTGATATAATAATGATCATTATAATAATCCCTTTGATTTTAAAAATGGGGAACACTTTGTAGCCTGCTTGTTTGAGGTTATTAATTTGGTTTATGGAAACACATTAATTTGTTCCGGAGCCTAATCGAAGTTGTCTAGATACAGTTGTTAAGTTGTTAAATGGCTCTGACATGCTAATAAAACTTAGGGTAAATTACAACTACCCCTGAGGTGTGGTCAAATTACAAAAAAAAAACCCTCATGTTTGGGTTATTACAACCATCCCCATTTACTATGAATCTTCTTACACTTCCACCCTTAAGGTGTCAAATTTAGTGGAATCTTCTCGAGTATATGGAATATTCTCAATTTTGTACCCGTTTTATTTCATTCGAGTTCCACGTTGTGAACCAAGATGATCATAAGATGTGTTTTTTGGCTTGTAAATATCAGACTTTGGTGCATCAGAAACTACATTTTTGCACAAAACGAGTACAAACTAGATAACATTCCACGAAATCTATAAGATTATGTTGAATTTGACACTACAAGGGTGGTCGTGTAAGAAGATTTATAGTTGAAGGGTAGTTGTAATTATCCAAACATGACAATTTTATTCATAATTTGATCATATCTCAGAGGTTGTTGTAATTTACCCTAAAATTTATAACTAACATAAATAAATGCCACAAACAAGCAAATAATGTTTGTCTCGCCAATTCGGATTTTATTGCATTCGATTCAATGTCTCGTAAAATAGCAACAATGGGAAATCTCAGGGCACATCTAAGTACGTGAACCACACGGGTTTGCAAGTTCTTCCACGATCAAGACTAGGGGTGAAAATCGGACATAATGGATCAAAAATGACTTTTTTGAAAAAAAAACATTTTTTTTGGGTAGTGGAAAAGGGTTCCAATTTTCGTTATAAAAAATCAGAATGCAAAATTTCATTCCAATCTCAGAGTGTCTCGAAATCGGTGGAATTTTGGAAATTACATTACTTTATAATTTCTTGTATCAAATTTGGATATAATGGAATTTTTTAGAATATTTTTCTATCTTTTTTTAATGTAACATAAAATTTCTGATATCAATTAATCAATTATAAAGTTTTAATTTACTTGTCCCTTCGGTATTTATATTTTTCATATAAAGTTTAATATAAGTTATATTATGGAATTACAAAATAGATAATAAAATTACATTATATATTCCAAAAAATCATAGAAATATTCAGAACTAAAATCGATTCGGAAATTGAAATTTTCCAGTAATTTTAAATACCATTCCAATTCCTTTCCAAATAAATTTGGAAGAATCGGAAATCGAAATGTCGGAAATCTAAATAAAAAATACGGTTCCAAATTCGGATATTTTCGGATCGGAATTGGCGGAGTTCGGAAATTCCTTTCGATTTCCACCCTAACCAAGACCGAACTAGTTTGCAAATTTAGAATCACTAGCAAGCACCACGTGTGTTGCAGCTTTTAGTTAATATATAACTTATGGTTAATTAATAAAAGTTACGTACTATATTTTATAACAAAAAAATATTTTTACAGAAAATTAAATAGGTACAAAACTTCATGTTCTACTTATATATCAAAACTATGAAATAAAATTATTCTAAAATTGAAATCAATAAAAATATAAAACCAGAAGAAAATAACTAAAATAAATTGTTATATATTAATTCAATCATGGAAAATGCTCACTTAAAATTTCTTTTATTTTGTTGTGATGGTTGATAATTTTCATTATCTTGAATTTCGCTGTATAAATATTGTTTGAACAATTAAGTGTTTTTTCGTGTTACTCGTATGTTATGATCACTCTGGTCAAATTTACCAACAATTACTTATATATGTGAGTGTTATGTTGTTATATGTTTTTTGTTGTCGAAAAATCTGCTTTTGTTGAATTTGCCAAGGGGAGTTATCTATGTCCTTAAGACGAAATTTCCCCGCAACGGTACCGGTACTGACGACTTTAATGGAAATCGTCTCCCACAATACAACGGCAAAATCTTGGAAAGGAGCACGACGAACTAAGTGTACTTTGTGTGAAACTTTCCGATAGAATCTGGAAAGGGTAGGCTAGAAATGTGAAAGATAAAAGTGGATTTCGGAATGAAGTGAGGAATTATGGGAAAACGGGGGTCTATTTGTAAGATTTGAAAAGTAGTGTCCTTTGGAGTAAAAGGTGCAAGGACCCACCGATTCGCCCTAGTCTTGCACTGTTTCGGCTATGGAGCCGTTGGGCCGAATCGGTTGCACCATTTCGAGTTGAGCCGATTGGTCTGCACTGGTTCGGCTGCACCAATAGGACCAATCGAGATGGGCTTCGGCCCATTTTCTAATGTTTTTAGCCCAAAAAATAATGTTGTGAATTGGGCCTCAGCCCAAATCCGAGCGAGCGAGTCGACCGAACGGCGGTGGGGGACCCATCGGTTCGCCTTTATCTTGCACTGTTTCGGCTATGGAGCCGTTGGGCCGAATCGGTTGCACCATTTCGAGTTGAGCCGATTGGTTTGCACTGGTTCGGCTGCACCAATTGGACCAATCGAGATGGGCGTCGGCCTAATTTCTAATGTTTTTAGCCCAAAAAAAATAATGTAGTGCGTTGGGCCTGAGTCCAAATCCAAGCGAGCGACCGAGTCGGCCAAACGGCGGTGGCGCGCGCACGTGGACATCATTCAAATCTCACAACATGTAGGCCTTTCTCCGAAAAAAAAGTTGTACGCCCAAAAGGCTTGACCCTTAGGCCCAATATTGAGCTATATAAATAGCTCACAACTTCACTACTTTTCCAATGTAGGATAGCTCAAAATCCCACTTTTCTTGTTTCAACATATTTTGGACTAGTATTTTTCATTCACCATAGATTGGTTTATGTACTCATTATATATTTATTTATCTAATCCATATGTTGGTTTAAATAATCAAAATAAACCATGCATTAATATTGATCAAAAGTTGTTCATGACTCAACTTTTAACCAATTTTCCCAACATTTTTTACATAATTAACTCTAGGTAAATCATATTATCACTTATACATAAATAACGATAGTAAATAAAATTTAAGAAATTAATTTAACCTCGATATTTTAAAATCAATCTTAGTCATTCACAACAATTTCATCTTATTTCTAGACATATTTATTATATATTGGGTATCATTATTTATTTTTAATTTTATTTTATTATTTCTAAATAATCATTAATTAACGTCATAACGTTCACTCACATGTTATGGTATGTCACTGAGAAACTCTATCATAAGTTTTATATCAAATACATTTTATTTAAGAATTTAAGAAAATAAATTTTGACTTTCGAAATAAATTATAATATTGATCCGGGCTATTTTGTCCAAGCCCAATAGACTTACCAATCAGCGCATTTACCTCTCCAATTCAAGCCCATCAATCACATGTTTTGGGCCCAACAAAAGCGGCCTACTCTCCAGTGAGTCTCCACTCTCACTCGTCTCTCTCTAGCAGGGCCGGTCCTATGAATTTGGGTGCCCTAAGCAAGATTGAAAAAATGGGCCTTTTGTAGTTTCAATTTTAGTAAGTTTTTTTTTCCTGCCGAACATTAAGATCAACGTAGCTGCCATCGTTAACTTTATTTTGCAAGTTTTTATTAAACTACCAAAACAAAGATAAGATACTACTAACAAATTACATTATCCCTAAAAAAATTACATTTTGTGAAAAAATAAATGTAGGCCGGGAGTAATTTCAGTAAGCAAAAAAAAAATGTAATAAAAATAAATACATTAATGAAGGAGGATAAAACTCCTAAACATTCAATAAAACATATCACTTAAATATTACCCTTCTAGCATTTTTTTTAAGCAAAATCACTAAGAGAGAGCAAGTACTAGGAGGCATTTGCAATTTTCAGAAAGTGCACGGCAAGAGAGGGATATTTTTAGATATTACATCTTGACCCCCGTTTTTGGGTGTTTTCCGTCAAAAACTAGAAAGCTGTGGGTGGAGGATAATATTCAGCTTAGTTACTTTGATAATTGCATTTTATGCCCCATCTTGGGGCTTTTTTATAATAGTCTAGGTAGACTAGATAATGATTTTTTATTTACATTGTAGAGGTACTCTTTTTCCTTGTGTTAGGCCCACAAGGTTTTAACGAGACCCCGGGCATAATTTTAAATGGAATAATAGAATCTGTTGGCCCAAAAAAAAAAAAATAACACACGAATATCGATCGATTCCAAAGATTTTTAGCTTAGGAAAAAGGACAAAAAATATATAATAAAAATCTACACTTGTAAATAAGAGCCCAAATCTATTTTCCTAAAACTTTGATGCAAGACAAATCACACTGCAGGCTGGAAATTGAAATTAATTTACGAAAGACATACCTTTTAATTTTGGGAAAGGGATAAAAAAGTATTACAGTGAGTAGGGTAGAGAGATTTTTTAATTTCAGTAAAAGTGTTTTGTGCGTTTCATTCTACTAGGGATACATTCATTATTTATGTTTTGTTTTTTACTTTTCTTTAAGCCTTAAGGGCCCATCAAAATTATAAAAAAAATTATTTAAGTTGGAGGTGGGTATTGGGTGGCGTGAACTACCAGAGTAAAGCACATAGTTGTTTTATTTTTCATGTAAATTACATATACTATATATATATATAACAAATTTTTTTTTTTTTTTTTGGGGCCCTTTTGGAATTGGGGCCCAAAGCCTTGGCTTCCTTGGCTTCCTATAAGGGCCGGCCCTGCTCTCTAGGGTTAGTATTAATAAGAAGATGAGGAATGATGACAGAGGACGACAGAGGGAAGAAATACGCACAACACCAAGAACACCCACTCTATACACACCAAATACAGGCGAATACACAAAATACGATGAGGAGGTCCAATCAAGTATGTGAAAGATTATGATACTAGTAATATAACATAATCCAAATAAACTTTCAACTTAGTATAATTATAGCACGTGAAAAGATATTTGATATTTAAACTACATAATTAAGTTATGTTAAGCTATTATTTTCAATTTTTGTTACTATACAATTGACCATAATTAATTGATGGTATAACTTTATTATAAGAGGCATAATAAAAATCAAAAACTGTTAAGAAACAAAAAAATATTCATGTTTTTAAGAAGGTTGGTAGAGAAAATATAAAAATGCGACACGAGATATATATATATAAGGGTAAATTACATCCACACCCTTAAGGTATGCTTAGATAACTTTAAGGTCCATGTGGTATTGTAATTACACTCACACCCCCTAAAACATAGTTAGAAGTTCTTATGGGATAATGCATTGAATATGTTATTTCGATAGAATTCTAATGGACTAATAGTTTCAGGAAGTGGTTGAGACAATAAAGAGCTATGGGTGATTTAAGAAATGTTGGGGGAGCCATATGACCCCCTAACTCTATATTGTCTCCACCACTAGCTAAAAATAATAGTATGTTAGAATCCTATCGGAATAAAGTATCCAATGCATTATCCCATTAGAGTTTATAACTATGTTTCAGGGGGTAAGTGTAATTATCGATACCACAGAGACCTGAAAGTTATTTAATCGTACATCAAGGGTGTGGGTGTAATTTACCCTATATATAAATATGTTATGGCGTTTAGAATGGGGTAGGAAAATAATTAGTGGTGCGCACAAGTCTTTGTGAATTAGTTGAGTCTTTCACTTTTGTTCGGTGTTGACGTAGTACCTTATTATTCAGCATTTCAGTGCGTGGGTCAGAAATATACAACGTACTTTTACTTGGGACTTTTTGAATTCTGCCATGCATTCTACTCAAGGCCGGTTCTGAGGTGAGGCGAAGTAGGCAGTCGCCTAGGGTCCCCGAATTTTTGTAAAATTTTAGGGCCCCCAAATTTTTTTATACCTTTTATATATTAGTATTTATTTAAAAATAAATATATTATATGTATAATTATTGCGAACTCTAATTCATGAATAGATATTGATAAACGATTTTTACTTATTTCTATAATTCATCTAATCATGCGGCCCCCAATTATTAAATTTACAGTGCATTAGCTATTTATTTTTATATATTTACACTTGTTTTAGTGCTACTTAATGAAAATTATCCTTTAAAAAAATTCGAGGGCGCTGCCCTCGAACCCCTGGAAATTTATAGCATTTAAGTGCTACTTAATGAAAATTATCCTTAAAAAAAATTCGAGGGCGCTGCCCCCGAACCCCCGGAAATTTATAGCCTTGTCTCTAGCTATATACCTTACAAAAACGTGCTCACATAGATTTTATCATTTTTTTAGAAAAAAAATGAGTTTTAACATACATTGTAAAAGGCCCCATTTTTCAACCATCTTCAAGTCTCGCCTAAGGCCCCCAAAATCTCAGGAACGACCCTGATTCTACTAAACATTAGATGCTACATCTGGTTATTTATATTGTGTTGATTTGAATCGTAGATTTACACATAATAACACACACCCATGTGTATGTGAGATTAATGGATAGTTATCTAGTTTAATTTACGATTCAAATTATCTCTCAGTGTAAATAATCAGGTGTATCATCTAACTACATGCACCCTAAACACACAAACAAACCTAGGATCGAATCTAGTGAGTGCTCAATGCACCACAAGAAAGTACATACGTTTGTTTGGTATTTTGTCATATACTGACTTTTCCTCATGTGAACAATTTAGTTTCTTTTTATTCTGAAATCAATCATACTAGCATATACTACATTATATATAGGGAAAAATACAAATTTCATCCCTCAAGTTTGCAAGAATTTCACATTTATTTGGCCCCTTATATTTCAAAAATTCAACACTTTTAGTCCTTTCCGTCCATTTTTCGTTAAAGCTAAGAGAAACAGACGTGTTCCCATCACTACCGTAACTGACGGACTAATGGTAAATTGACGAAAATAACCAAAAGTGTCAAATTATTGAAACATGAGGGACCAAATGTGTTTTTTGTAAACATGGGTACCAAATGTGAAATCATTACAAATTTGAGGGATGAAAACTGTAAATTTCTCATTATATATATAAAAATCAACAGATATAGAGCTTCATCAGTTCTTGATTGTCAAAACAAATATATATTAGTTTAGAATTTTCGTCCCTAACTATATATATGGAGAGATTTAATTCCAAACTTTTCCTTGTTGAAGTGCTCTTGTTGTTACATTATTGTCTGATGATGGGCAATACTATAACCTTAGACATATCAAAAACCAGCAATATTGATCAATCTTCACTTCTTGCATTGAAATCCCACATAACTTCAGATCCTTACAATAGTCTTACAAATAATTGGACCACTAAAACCTCTATCTGCAGTTGGATTGGAGTCACTTGCGATTTTCGCAACAACAAAGTGACCGAGTTGGATATTTCCGATATGGGTCTTGTAGGCACAATCCCACCCGAAATCGGAAATCTTTCGTCCCTAGTGAAACTGAACATGAGATACAACTCATTCCGCGGTCATATTCCTTTATCCCTTTTCAACATGTCGAGATTGCAAGATATTTCCGTCATGTACAATAGCTTGTCGGGAAGTTTACCGGACGACATGTGCAGCGGCCGCTATAATATGCGCGGACGACTCAGGGTACTTCGTCTATCTTTCAACAACTTTAACGGCGAAATACCTTCGAGTTTGGATCAATGTTCACAGCTTGAATTTATCTCGTTGCATAAGAATAATTTTGTCGGAAATGTGCCTAGACAGATTGGCAATATGACGCGGCTTCGGCAGTTGTATCTTTGTTGGAACAACTTAACTGGTAAGTTCATCATATCTAATTATTGTGGTACTTTTATTTTCTTGTTCTGGCTCAGGTTGGGACCGAGAATGAATATTTAGCTCAGGTTGGAACGGAGGATGAATATTAATTAAACGAGTTTTAGCTTAAAACAAAAATAACATTTTGAAAGGAGGCATTTACTTTTTTAGAATTTGATAGGGGGTGACAGTGCAATTTTCCCTAAAACTATTTAAATTAGATAAAAATAATTATGGCAAATTGCACTTCACCCCCTTAAAACTGTCTTTTTTGCACTTTCCCTTCTTAAAATACAAAGACGAGCGCTCCCCTTCGAAATATTCAACTCGGTGCACTTTGTCCGAAATGTGTATTTTTGATTTCTTTTTTGTCAAATTTGAGTAAATTGGAAGGGTAATTTCGTCTTTTAAGGCTTCAAATGTCATTTAACCTTTTTGCACCCTGCGTTGCAATGATTATGAAGAACAAATAACAAATTTTGGAGAATTTAGAAAAAAGTTCGTCTAATTTAGAAGCGAATTTCATTAATATCGGAAGAGAATTTTGTTATTTTGGGAACCCTAAGAACTATGAAAGGAGGACTTCAAGCGGAAAAGGTAAAACGACATATACACCCTTAATTCGGTGAGAATTAGATTGAAAATAAACATTTGGTGCACGGAATTTTATATTTCATGGGGAGTCTCATTTTTGTTTTTGAGGGAGAAAGTGCAAAAAAAACATTAAGGGGGTGAATGCAATTTTCCCGAAAGATTAACTTAGTCCAGTTTTTAAATTAGGACAAAATACACTTCTCCCCCTATAAATTTTCCATGTTCACACTTTTCACCCCTACAAATTAAAAAAGAAGGATAACCCCTTCCAAATATTTTTTTTACTTTGCCCAAAGAACAATTTTCATTGGGCATTGTGTACTAAAAGTAACATTTTAAAGCCACAATATGTAGATAAATAATATTTTTAAGGGGCAATGTATAACAAAACAATATTTAAAGGGTGAATGCGCAACAAAAAACACTCAATTCCAATGAATAATCCATCATATATTTTTTAGAGTAAAAAGCAGTTTGCCCCCTAAACTATAACCCATTTTGCACTTTGCCCCCTAAACAATTTTTTTTTGCACGTTCTTACCTAAACTCATTTTTTTGTTGCACGGTGCCCTAAAAGTGATATTTTCCGGCAAATGTCACCAGAATCTCACGCACGTGCCATTCACGTGGGATTTGGAAGGGTAAATTTGTCTTTTTACTTTTAATTATTGTCTGACTTCAATTTTTTATTATATTCCATTTCAATTTTTTATTATCTTCTATTTTGGTCATCTTCCCCAACTAGTCTTCTCCCCCAGCTCTCTGGTTCTAATCATGACCTACAAGATCTTGAAGAAAACTCTTAGCCACTGATGGGCCGAAAATGGGTCGAAAAAATTCATCAAAGAAACTCATCATAGCCTCCTCCATCCCCACCCGTATCTCTGCCTTCTACCACCACTTTCACGGCGGCGCAGGGAAGGGAATAACCAAGAACATCCAAAGCATCAATAAGCTTTGCCACCTCATCCAATTAAAGCGAACATCGAGCAAGAACTCAACGACGCCGGTCTCACCTTCGATTTCAGTCGCCAATTGGAGAGAAACTCGTTGCTCGCCGACAAAATCAAGCCATTAAAGACACACCCAAGGTTTCACTACGATCAAAACAAGCCCCAAAATTTTCATCGAGAAGCATTCTCCCCTGGAACAATAGGAAATACCGTACGTTGCAACAAACCGATCAGAAAAACCTTAAATCACAAATTCACCAACAACAACCAAATTCGAAGTCGAATTAACATTAAAATAAGCATTAAAGGCCCAACACAAACAAACCACCGCCTCCGACCCTCTTTCTCAACAAACTCTGCTCACCTCCAGACACAATCAAGCTAATACAGGAAAGTGATATTTGGAAAGCGGAAGCATACGGCAGCGGGTGTGGGGAAGAAACGAACAAGAGGAAAACGGTGGTAAAAGGGGAAAAGGAAGAGGGTTTTTGAGAGGAAAAATAGAGAAGGGTGATTGGAGAACCTGCCATAGTAAGAATCTATGGAATTGTTTCTTGATGATGGTCGTACGGGAGCCGGCGGCGGCGGCGGCACCGTCGTTATCCTTGATCAGTCTCCGATCTATGGCGGCGGAGATTGACCTGTAGGAGATTTGCTCCACCTCCATCGTCGCCGTCTTTACAATCCCTTTATAGCAGCTGCAATCCTCTCAATTGAGTTCGGATTTCTCTTGGCTGGGCTTGGAGATGGGTTGGGATGGTAATGCGTTACAGCGCTTTTTCTTTTCTTTTTTTCTTTTTGTTTTTTTGCTTATTTATTTATTTAATTTATTTAAATGATTAATTTATATTCAATATATAGGATGTATATGAATGGACAAATTTGTCCCTCCAAATCTCACGTGCAATGCACATGTTTTAGCATTCCGGTCAAAATTGCCGGAAAATTTAGTTCAGGGGGCACCGTGCAAGGAATTAACGAGTTTAGGTAAAAACGTGCAAATTTTTTTTGTTTGGGGGGCAAAGTGCAAAACGGTCATTAATTTAGGGGGCAAACTGCTTTTTACTCTATTTTTTATATCAATGTGGATCAAACAAGAATAACATTTTGAAGGGAGACAATTACCTTTTTTAATTTGGAAGGGGGTAACGTGCGAAAATCAATTTATAGGAGGCAACGTGCAATTTGCCCTTTAAATTATTTTCCTATCTACTTTAGTTTTTTCTTTTTCCTCAAGCCCTCAACGCCGCACGAATTTCCCCTTTTTCTTTTTTCTTTTTTTTTCTTTTTTTTTTTAATCCAATTATTATATCATCATCTCCTACCGAGTTCTTGTCTTGAAGAAAACCTTTATTTGTTTGTTGTGATTTTTCGATACACTAACACCGTCATGTCTCAGGTATGTATTATATTCCCTGTTATTAAATCATTTTAATTTCTTCTCATTTTATGATTTTCCATTTGTTAATTTCTTCTATTCATCATAACTTGATTCCTGAATATTCGGTGCTGTCTGAGAAAAAAATTGTAAGAGAAGAACTAGGGTTCGTCTTTTGTAGTTTATGATGATAGTTAATTACCATAGAACCTTGATAAATTAAAAATCTCGCGCAAGTAATAATTTCTTCAGGTCGGTAAAAATTATTAGTTCAATAATTTAATATTTCACTAAATTAATAGAATTTTGCTAGTCTCGATTGTATTAATTTATAGATATTTAACTGTAGCGGTTTGTAAACTTCTGTTATAAAGCTTAATCAAGCAATTCTATGTGGCTAAATTGATGGAATTTGAACTTCAAGGCCTTGTTGATAAGTTGGTTATGCATTTATTTTTGATTCAATTTAATTAAATGTTGACAAATTATATATTTAAATTATACTTTATTTTTGACTTTGTGCCGAATTTCAGACTGTTGAACTTAAGGTGGCGATGTCATGCCAAGGCTGCGTCGGAGCTGTGAAGAGGGTTCTTGGAAAAACCGAAGGTTTTTCGACTTATTATACGCACATACATAAAACAGAAACAGAGTTTACCAGTTTGCTATTAAGGAATTGAAGCTTTAATTTTTCCAGTATTAATTCCAGCATTTAAATCTCTATTTTTATTTAATTCCCTCAAATAATAGAGTCTAGTGGTATTTCCAACAACTTCGAATTGCAGTTTATAAATATCTAAGTCATTTTTTCGACATACAATATATGGTAATATATATACATCTGGTAGGCTTGTTTTTCTCATGTCTGAACCGGGAAAATTCAACGGTCGGTGTTTCAATTTATCTCTAAGCATCATGTTCAGATTTCGTTTGGTTGGGGGGATTATCCATGATAGACTAAATAATTGGACTTTGTTTGATGTATGGTATCCCCAATAAATTGCCGGGTCGACCCGCAAATATTGTGTTATCATGCCTTCTATGGAGCTTTGTTTGTTGGACGTCGCGAGGTCTGATAAAATAATTGGGTTTCATTAGATTATTTAATTTTATCTTGGTTAATCTTATCTTGGCAACCAAGCGAGGCCTCAATGTATTATTAATTATGATTAGGCTTGCTTCGCTTTTTGTCATGTGGGA